TCATCAATGTTGCAACCTTGTGGAGGAATGGCAGGGGCACATACACAAATATGATAATTTATATAATTTTAAATATTATTTGACCTAAAACTAAATGTTTTTATGATTGTCCTCTGAGGAGGACATGGGGATTTGCAAACTTTTAATTCCCCCCCCCCATTTTACACAACACAAAATGGAGTCCACTATGGGCCGAAACTAACATGTAGGTTTCCATAGTGTTTATGGCAGATGGATGCAGTGGGTCTCAGGAAGATATATAATAAATAATAAAGGTGGGTTTGCTGCTGAGCCTATTTACTGTGCATACAACACACATGGCACAGTTTATTGTTATTATATTGCCACACTGTACACTATTGTAATGTTGCCTGTCTTGACTGGAAAATAAAAGAGAGAAACAAAAGCACTGTACAAAAGATCAGCTTTATTGTCAAAATGTTTACAATGTACAATTTACACGCTGTTCAGATGCCTCATAAAGCTGGGTCGCCGGTAAGGCAGTCCATTCGTCCCTGTACTCATCATTACTTTCACAAAGGTTATGTAATATGCAACATGCTGCCACCTGGATTTTGATCTTGTCCATCTTGCAGTCGTTTCTTTTCATCAAGCACCGCCACCTGCCCTTCAGTCTGCCAAAAGCGTTCTCCAACACCACTCGTGCTCGGCTTGTTTTGTTATTGTACGCAAGTTGCTCAGGCTGCATTAACTCAGTTACAAAGCTGTATAACATGAGCACAAACAGCACAACTTCAGTCGACTCCATCTCCATCATGTCTGAGGTCGGAAGGTAAACAACAGACGCCTAATGTAGAGCGAGTGGGTGGGCGCATGGATGTATAATAAGAACTGGATACAGCGTGGGAGGCGGGGCCTCATTCATTCCTATGAGAGTTGCTCATTCGCGCATGATGATAAAATGGCCCAACTTTTGAGAGAGCGAAACGTCACAGATTACCCGGCATGCCTGAGAAGTACCCGTATGTGCGCTCATAGCGCATGCGCAACTTTAACCATGCCCCCCAAAATGCTCGTTCACATCAAGCACGTCAATTTGCGTACACGTAACAGCACCGCACGTTCATGACAGCATGGTAACGGTTTGTTATTTTGATAGATTTGATATTAACGAGGCAGCAGTTAGCAGCTAGCGGTTAGCTAGTAATTATGCTAATTTACACATCAATCGTTATGTACTTTTATATTACGCTGTAACAGGATCTAGTGATATCCAAGCAACAGAGCTTCATTTAGCATGAAAGAATTATTGCACTGTATATATATGCATATGTATGTATATATATATATATATACAGTGCAATAAGCTTCTTAGTGCAATAAGAAGCTACAGGGACGTTAATCTACGTCGGTAATATTAACTTTATTTAATAAAACATTTACGGTACAAGATTTAATCATACAGCCCATGTAGTATAATATTTTACAAATGATGAATTACAGCAAACATGTGCAATATATCCATTATTACAGCTCCGTGGGATGGCAGTAAGGCGATATGGGTCCGTTCTTATTGTGCATCCATGGGTAAAGATAAACGCATGTAGTGCTGAACACGTAACATGAACGTGCCGGGCGGCACGGTCCTGTGGGTTAGATGCGCGTTCATAATGCAGAGGGAAATAACTCACAGAATAACGTTATTAGCACATTTTTATAACTTGAGGAACAAATGTTTTTAATAAGGGCGATACAAGTGTTCATACTGGGTAGTTTATTTAGTTTAAAAAAAATTATCCAACGATTTACAGACCACTCTTTCCCCATGTAAGTCAATGGGAAAAAGTGTTTCCGGGCCTGGCAACCAAAAGGAAGTGTAGTACCGCCGTTTGGCCAGCACGACTATTTTCATCTGAGTCCGGCGCACTTCCTGGGGGCTTGGGGTGGGCGTCGCAGTATACGCGGGAAGTTTTTCTTCTTCTTCTTCTCTTGATTTGCAGCGGATTGCAAACAACTTTAAGGTGCATAGAGTGGCGAAGTCCCTCCCCTTCCGGTGGACCTCGATGGGACCTTATTTCGGAAAAATTATGTATTGAAGTCAATGGAGAGAGAAAGATTATCTTTCGATCCCCTTTGAATTGTGCCACGAATTACACATATGATGTTTGTCAATTTAAAAGATAATTTTGCAAGTCAAAAAAAAAAAAATGTGTCGTAAAACTGTGAAGTAACACATTTGTTTGTGTGAAACGCTCAATGAACTACATCTCTGGTCTCACAGAACAACACACGTCACCAAGATGGCCGTCACTACTGTCTTGTCAACAAAACGATTGACTACCCTCACTATCACCACAATGAAACACGTCCTGAAGAAAGTCATGCAAAGCTGCCTGCCTGCCTTCCTTTGATTCTCTCTGAACTGCCTGGTCTTTTTAATGTTTAATGTCAACCATTTGTGCAGATAGCATGAAGTAGAGAAGATCGCTAGCGTTAGCGTTACTCCCCTGGGCTTACATTGTGTATTATAGAATGATCACACCGGTGTGACAGTACTCTTCAAAGGGTTCATGAAATATGACTACTACTCTTACTGTTTAACATTTTGGGTTACTTAATGTTACTTCATGTTAAGGCTAATACAAATGACAAGGCTGTAATGCTAACTAACGTGCTACTAGCTAGCTTGATCCAGACACTCCTAGTCCTTTCATCAGACGGGAAGCGAAAGAACGAGCAAGACCCATTGCTGGTATGAACAACCTGGTACTAAGCACACAGGCATCTTGTTAAAGTTATCTTATCTTAGCCAGCGCCATATAGATAGATTCTATCTATATGGCGCTGATCTTAGCTATCTCTTACACCGTTGGTGTGAATGGGGTGGAGGAAAACAATTGTGACATCACTTACGCGACTCTGGGATTTGTAGTCTTTCTAGTTGCGTATTTTTCATAGTCTTATATTTCAACAGTTTTACGACAAACTGTGACTTTTTTGACATGGAAATGATTTTTTAATATTGACAAACATCATATGTGTAATTCATGGCACAATTCAAACGGGATCGAAAGATAAGTTTTCTCTCTCCATTGACTTCAATACATTATTTTTCCGAAATAAGGTCCCATGGGGCGGAAGTAGATGGGCGTGACTTCGCCACTCTATACCGCCACCTACTGTACTCGCCGTGAAGTGGTTTGTGGCCTGCCAGTAAAGCCAAAGCAGAAGAAGAAGAAGTGACGTCAGCGGCTCATTTGCGTAATCTTCCCTCAGGGAAAAGTACTCCGGTGTGAACGCGATCTGTACTAAGTGCCCTGGGGTAAAAAGCGCCGGGGCTCTGAGTGCCGGAACTAAGTACAGGAAAGTACTTGGTGTGAACGCGGCTAATGATGACAGAAATTCATCCTCATGGGAAAAATCTTCTTTACTCAAACATACTTGTACCAAACTAAACATCCTGAAGATGATTTACCTTCACCTCCTTTTTCTAGTACAAAAAAAATGTACATTAAGTTAAATAAAAAGCTCCTCCTTTACCAGCTGGATCCTTAAAGTAAAACACCTGAATGCATCAACAATAAGAAGGCAATAATATAAAATACATTATTCAGAAATAGGCGGTGCGTTTAGGTTAATCTTGATGCTAATAGCCTTCTTTACTTTTACTTAATTAAGCACAATTTGGCATGCAAAAATGTTACATGACATGTCTCCACAATGTGATTAGAGTTATTTTACCAATGAAATATTTGCTGTTATCAAGAGACTCGGAGCACTGCTGCCCCCCTGTGGTTATTATTGGAGTTACACTCGACCACGCACCGACAGGTAGGAGAACAGCGGCTTTATTTCTGTATTTACCAGGGGTTTTATTGTTTCGCAGTTATCCATCCTTTGGCTTGGTTTTCTCATAATTTATTACCTTTTGCCACAAGGAATCCTCTAAATTGCTGTAAAAATAAGTAGATTTAGTATGCTCACCTTTCGCTGAACATTTCCAAATCTGGAGGTGCACTATCATGTTCATTTAGTTGGTACGAAAGGAAATATCTCCTGCTGAAAATGTTTCGTTCCTCATTACGAATAAACGTCTTAGAATTTCTGTAGTAAAACAATCCGATCAGAGGAATTTCCCCTAAACACAGCAGATATATTTTCACTTAGCATGGCAGCTACAGGTGTAAGCAATCAACATGGCCCCTTTCCGTTTAGCTGTACTAGTCAACCAGCGTGCGTACTGTGCGGTCTAATACTAGTTTATTTTGTCATGTGACCAATTGACTCCAACTTCATACCAGATATTGTATTTGGACTTTAGGACTCTTTTTATTATATATGAATATTGTTATTTAAAATTCAGCTGTTTTTCTATGTCTTGTTTTTTTTTAATGGCTTCCATGTCTTGTGACCCAGTGACTCTCAATCCATAACAGATTGTATTGGTACACTGGACAATAGGACACACCTCAATAGTTTTAATGTCATTTGACCCAATGACCTCAAATTAATGCAGCATTGTATTACTACACTAGACAAGTATGACACATCTCTTTATTGCATATTAGCCCTTTTTTTATACTCTACAAATAATTTTACGAACATTCTTTACAGAAACGTGTTGAGTGTGGTGATGTTTCAGATTTGTTTTCAATAGTATAAATACAAAATAGGTGATGTTGACTTTTAGAATGGGATAATAAAGGAACATTTTGCCAATTTCCCCTAAGAAATGTATGCCTGTGTTGGTTCAAGTTTGTATCTTCTTGGTCGAATGCACTTATTGTAAGTCGCTTTGGATAAAAGGGTCAGCTAAATGAAATGTTGGTTGTGTCACAGTCCAATTTGTTGTTGATTGCATTTGATCAAAGGAAATAAAACAAGTGTAAAAAATAAATAACAAATGTTGATTACAAGCTATATACTTACAAATTAAGTATTTAAAAAATGCATCGTAAAAAAGTCAAAAAGGAAAAGAAGATTTTAGAATTTAAAGAAAGGTATAACCTGTTTGTACTCAGGAAAAGAAGGAATCAGGAGACTTGTCATTTTTTATACATATTTTAAGAAAATACTGACAGATGCTAGCAATGACTATATACAAGGGTGTTCATAACAGCAGGTTATTTTGCTATTTAAGGAGAAAAGCGTGAACTTGGCTGGCGGATGATATAAAAACAGATCGATATGACGGACATCACTGGCTCGGCTTCTCACTTCTTGGACAGCTTGACTTGTTTATTTTTTGGGGGCGCCCACTTCAAACACATAGTGTCAACTGTGGAAGAGACAACACAAAAGAGAAACATTTTCATAAGACACAAAGCTAGGAAGAAACCATCCATCTTTTTCTGGTTTTAAACCCTAAAAAACTAAAAATGTTGGTATTATTGTTTCAGTCAGAATGAAGGTCGAATTAAGGGAATAAAAGAATTGCAATGCCTAATATGAAATGTCTGGACCTACCTGTGATTGGTGGTTTTTTGTACTGGGCGCTCTTCAGGTGCTCCTCTACCAGTTTGGGCGTCACACAGATAACGTGCTGACCTTTCCAGTATTTCACCATATTGAGCGACTGCAGTGTGCTGATGATGTCACTCTGCGTGATGCTGGTCATCTGGCTGAGGGACAAGGAGAGGGAGGAGGGTCTGATATGAGCATCAAAATCAGATAAGAAAAATGGCTTGGTGTCCGATGGTAATGGATCTTGTTATCGTACAGTATTACACGGCTTAGTTGAAAGGTTGATTGCCATTGGCTTATTTTGACATTGAACAGTATGCCCTTGCTGTACAGCAGACCACTGTTAATAACACTCTAATCGTAGGACTATGTCCAAACCTATCAATGAATTTTGGAATATCTCGTGAATATTCCGATTTTTTGAAAGCACAAAACTTTGAATACATGCTTGATCTGTCCCCAATAAAGAACTTTTTTTTTGAAGAAAAAGCAATACATGTTAAATGAGAGAAAGAGCTGGACAACAGAAAAATCAGCAGGAGACAGACAGGAAGTAAACACTAACTGGAACACCATAATACTCTGGCAGTGTTTAAAGACTGGTTAATGGAAAATAAAATGTGAACAGACTGACAGAAACAGGGCAAAAAACGTAGTCAGTGCTGCAGTTGTTTCATGAATCTGTTCAATATTCTACTTGTGAAAAACGGATATGACTCTCTACCTGAGGTCCTTGATGGACAGCGTTCCTCTGAAGTCCCTCAGAATCTCCAGCAGGACCCAGGACCAGTAACTTCTGTAGCTCAGCTTCCCCAGGTCAGACAGAGGCTTCTCTGGAGAACCCACTGCACTCTCCAGCTTAGACAGCTCATAACCTGCACACACAGCAGCACAAACTCAGTGTTAAGACAAGAAATTTGGTTTTGTGACAGTTTCCACATTTTTGAATGAAATAAAATAAAAGATAAACATCACGCTGAAATAACGCTGGTTTTTGTTTTTGGCTGTGATCATTAACAAAGAAAATATTAAATTGAAGGTAAACTACATATATATATATATATATATATATATATATAAAATTGTAGGGAGTGTATAGGCTAATCTATAATGAAAATACCTAATTAACTGCATTTTTTTAATAATATGTTCCATCATGAGCTGTTCAAAAACATATTTGCTGCAGTCATGGTCTCTCACTTACTGAAGGCTATGAGGAACTTCCCGTAGCCTCTGCGTTGGTACGGCGGCAGTGTGAGAATACACGCCACATTATTCCCATCTGGAGACTCTTTCTCCTGGAAAGACAAAAAGGCAAACAGTTGTTAATTATTTCAGTATGAGATGCTCCCCACCACTATTGTTAGAGTCAAACATTGAGATTTACACACTTTTAAAATGTTTTGTAGAGAAAATGCATGCAACACTGCCACAGAGATACATACATTGCCTATTATTAAGAAACATGGTATATAAAGTTTAAACACAACTGTGGCTAAGAAATAAAACTCCACATGGTGCATACAAGCGAGATCGGACACCAGTTAAAAAAAAAAACATACTTTGGAGAAGTAGCCGACGATGTGCGCTCCCTGTTTGTTGACTTCAGTGAGAATGTAGAAGATGAAGGGCTCTACGTCAAAATAAAGCGTCTTGTGGTCGAGGAATAGTTTTGCTAGAAGACAAAGATTTTGACAGTAGATCTGCAAACAGAGACCAACAATGAATCACAACGATGATCAACACCATCACAAAAAAAAGTATTTCAGAATTAACTGATTCCTAAAATAAATATCTGTCTAGTTTTATTCCACTAGAAACACAGAATTGACACAGAGACCATTATTAAGCATTAAGTAGTAATTCATATTCAGGTGTTGCTAAAGCCTCCAGGTGGACTCACCTTGTGGTCCCGCCCATCCACTTCATACACCGATATGTTGCTTCTTCTGTAGATTTCTTTGCCTGAAGGCTGCTTCCACTGACAATGGGACTGAGGAGACAAAGTCATAAAGTTCAAACCTCTTGCAGTCAGGTCGTCACTTAATCACTGCTATTTTTTAACCTTGGTACAAAACATTATCAAATGTTGCTTTCACAGGTGGGAAAATGTGTGTCACAAAGAAAAGCACCTTTTCCATTTTTTTTCAGTTTGAGTTAAAATTCAAGACATTCTGCAGCACATTTACTATGACTGTTAATTTAGAAGAAAAATAAATTTTATTTCACAAGTTATATCTCTATCCTTAAAGGTGGCGTAGGTAAGTTTGAGAAACCGGCTCGAGATACACTTTTTGTTATATTCCATGGAATGCTCTTAACATCCCGATAGCAATGAATATCTTAAGTGCTTTGACAAAAAAAATCCATAAAAAACTGTCATCCGTGGAAGCCGTAATACTGTAAAAAGCACGACCAATCATTTTAGCCGGCCCGGCTAAAATAACTGGATGGCCTACCTGCCTGTCAGCCTTCCATCTGTGCACAAACTTATCTCGTGCCCTCATTGGTCATGTGCACGTTCGTGTGTGTTGGAGGAGGGGCTCTGTAAGGAAGTAGCAGATTTCTTCCGGCTGTGTATTTTCAAATTCTAGCGCACTCGAGCTGGTTTCTCCAAAATTACCTACCCCACCTTTAAGACAGGTAGGCCATCCAGTTATTTTAGCCGGGCCATGGAATATAACAAAAAGTGTATCTCGAGCCGGTTTCTCAAACTTACCTACCCCACCTTTAAGACTTAAAAAAAATAGGATAGAGGAAATTGGAGCTACAGATACATTGGCACGTACAATGTTCCTGACTATTTCAAAGATAGGGGCTTTTGCTTGCAAAAAATCAACCATTCCCAGCATCATAAAGCGAGGGGTAAGCTGCACTTACAAGGTGATGTCTGAAGGTCTTCTCGAACTTCATGTATTTAAGGCAGTACTCGCAGATCCACAGCTTGGGCTGCTTGCCGTAGTCCTCTGGAAACGGCGAAAAGTACCAGGCGTCAATCTCAAAGTTTCCTATCTGGATCTTATCCACATATTTCACTTTGGTGATCTGAGGGAGAGACATGCCATTGAGTACAGTGAGGAACAATAACTTAAATCACAAACAACAATAAATACACAAGCCAAATGATGTAAATAATGTAGAGAAGCAGACCAAGGTTATTTGCTTACTGTATTTCTAGTCTTTAATAACAGAAACTTACCGCCTCATGCTCCTTCTCAAGCGCAGCTGTTGTTGGGTCCATCTCAGCGTACGTCTGCAAAGAAATCACTATTAGATAAATATCTACCATTTAGAAAAACGGCATGAAATATAACAGACATAACGGAAAACACCCGTACCTTCTGTACATGGTTGATCTCATCATGCTTGCGCTTCTGGTTGCGAGTGATTTTCCTTTCAGGCTGTTCACCCAAATCCCCAACGGCTCCGATCTCTGTGCTCTTCCTCACTGCATCCTTCACCTGCTTGGTGAGTGCCAGACGGCCCTTTAGCACCCATTCATCTAGCCGTCTGTTGACTGCATGCCAAAGAAAAGATCATCATGGTCATTGTCAGAGTAGTGGGAGAAAGTGGGTATGGTCAAATAAAAAAAGGGTATACAAAGAAAGCAAAATGACAATGGAGCATTAGCAAATAAACGTTGATGATGTAGATGTTAAGGTGTTAAATGTGCATTGCATTCATGATTATCATTTGTTCATGTACTTACATCCTACATAGTGGACATAGAACTCCTCCCTTCCCTCCTGTTCATTCAGTCGGGACTGAATAACCTCTGCTGTATCTGGAAAGTGAGAAAGATCCAATGATACTGGTGTCAGGTACAAATAATAAGCTTTGCAACTGCTGAATGTCACGACTCGCCAAACTCCATTCATTTTTCTGCAACTTGACTCGTTTTTTTGCTTTTTGGCATACCCGGTTATTGTTATCTCAAATGATAAAAAGTGACATGTTATGTGTTGGTCTATAATACAATTCGGCAATCTCATAATCACTCAAACTGAAACGTTATTCTATTTAATCCATTAGAAATACAATTGTATTAGCACGCCTGCTGTTTGCACTGTTATGGTTTTATAACCCATGCCGAATGTTCCAGAAAGCCCCGCTGCTCTGCTGTAAATTAAAAATATCACAGTAACGTCTGACTGTCACGAAAATCAATAAGACTTTGCGCAACATTTCAATTTAATTTGGTGTGAATTTGGCCTAAAACACAAGCAGAGTGCACGCTTCTAACGTTAACCCGCTTACTGAAACAGAGACATCACTCACGCCATGTCTTGTCGGCTCGTTGACATAAATACGTTTCTCCAATCTCGACCGACACCTCCTGCTCCCTGCCGCAGCAGAACACCCCACCACCTTCCGGGGTGTAGTGAATACTCGATCCCCCGGCTTCTCTCAGACGGCCAATGGCCTCCGCCTCATCCTCCTCCCCGCCACTGCCGTTTGAAGAGCACGCAGCCGGGATACCACTGTCCATTTCACCCCGCTCACTCTCCATATGACTGGAATCCATGTCTACATCCATTACAGGCTCCGAGTCCGTGTGATTCGTGTAGCTTTTGATAAAGTCGGTCCCGCCAGTCATAACCTTAGCAGTTTTGAAAACAACAACACGCCTCTGCGATCCTGCGCAGAGTATTCTCAGGGGCTGGTCTACAACAAAAAAAACAACTGCCAAGATGGCGTCGGTGGGAGCTTCATCATTACGTAGTTCAGTTTCCGCCTCTCCCAAACAACTACATCTCCCATGAGTCTTAGCAGCGCCATGTTGTTTAAAGATATATTGAACCTCTTTAATTAACCCTTCTCTTGCATTAGGTCATACCTTTATATATACAGTCTATGGGTCATACCCATAGACTGTATATATAAAGGTCATACCCCCCTTCCCATACTATTTTCGGTCAAAATTGACCGGTGTGTTTTGCACAGTGATATCTCTGGAACCCCTTATCCAATTTTGATGGTTGACATCTCATTTGAACAGTCAAAGCAAGTGGAATCAAGGGGTGACAGACAGAATGACACCAGGGGTGAATTTCATGTTATAATTTTGCAGTAAGTGATGTATTGATTTGATACAAGCAAGTTAGTGTTTCATTGTGTACTTTCAACTACAGTATATGGTCCGGACCCACCGGTGAGCCCATCAAGTTCAGCATTCACTGCATTCACTGTGATGAATATAAAATAAGACACTGATACTGTTTTCCTCAATGAACATTTAGAGAAAAATAAATATTCAGGGCTCCTCTCCCTCAGGGGCCTCTTCCTGGTCTGTTGACTGTTGGTCAGGTTCATAGTCTGGATCGCTGTTGTCTTCCATTTCTGAGACATCGTCCTCTATGTCTGGTTCAATCTCCTCTTCATCTGGTTCAAAACATTTGTCCAGAGCCTCTCTCTCTCTCTGTGTGTGTGTGTGTGGAGATATTTTCCACCTGCAGGATGAACATAATACACTCATACCCATTCATTTCCTAAGGCGGTCAATTCTGACCAAAAACATCATGGGTGTTTCACTGTTGAATAAATCACAAAAAAATCAATGCAAGTGGTGATCGTCAATTGTATATGTTCAGAGGCCTAGTGTGGAGGATAACATAAGGTCTTGAGGCAATTGGATGAAAAACACAATATTTATGATCAAAAACAAAGTCACTCGGTCACTTTTGACCCGAAACGCAAGAGAAGGGTTAAGTGAAAACACTAATCTCACAGTGTTAAAATACACCAGTACAAGTGAAAGTATTCCATTCAGTATTTAACAGTAACTGTATGTAAGCAGTTCAATTACAGAAAAGTATTTAGCCTATTGCCCAGTGATATGTAGTTAACGTACTTAAAAGTTAAAGTATTAGTTATGCAGCAAAATGTGCCCCGTCAGTGCTTTAATGATATTTTTTGTGTTTCTCGATTAATATTACAACATGCATTGCATTGAACAGTTGTATGTTTTTTAACTGTATACTGTTTGACAATTTAATCTGCAGAAATTCATCTTGTATTCTATGAAATCCTCATGTTTGTAGTTTTGTCACTTAGTTTTTTTGGGGAAAATAGTCCCTTTAAAACAAGAAACCCATTCTTCATGGGGGTATTTCTAGCCCAATCCGTGTATAAACACACATTTTATTCCTGCATTTAAAAATGTACTCAGGTGACAGTACTGCAGTAAGTGTTTTCATCATCAAAAAGCAACAACCATCTGTATCTGATATTAGTGTGCATGTCAGTACAAACCATAGAGCGGGTTAACGGCAATGTACGGGAGGAAAGGAAACTAAGCTGAAAGTCGTTTCTGGTGCAGGGCTTTAATTTACGCAGACTGAAAATGGAGGCACACGCACATTTGTTCACTGGCCCTCCTGTTGCCCTTTGTCATAGAACCTCCTCCCTCGCCCTCTCTCTCTCCACCACATTGTGCTGGAAGCCCCTGACGTGACCCCGGCGGGGCCCCCCACCTCTGTCGTACAGGTTGTTGGGCCCTCCCCTGCTTCTTGAAGCCCGCCCGTCCCACTGGTAGCGCCCGGTGGTTGGGTCCGAGTCCCCCCAGTGAGGAGCCCTTCTCCTTCCACGGTGACCCCGCCCGCCTGCAGCTTCTTTTGGGCATTCAGTGTCCAAGGCTGCCTGGTACAGTGGGGGACCCTCCCCAGACATCGGGGTCTCTGCCGGGACCACCCTGCCTGTCTTAGACTGACAGAATTCTGCATTCTCTTGCATTTGTTGGTTACCCTGAGCTTTAATCGGCCCCTCGTGGGAGGACAGAGACAGTTTGTGCAGGTGCTCCGTGACGGGGGCCGCTCTCCGGTGATGTTGCGGTCGGAACCGGCCTCCTCTCCTCGGCCCCCGCCTCGGAGCCTGAGCGCCCCTGCATTGGGAGAGTCCAGGAACAGAGTGGTCCACTCTGAAACCAGTTTCATACGAGGGAACCTTAGAAGCAGAGGGTGCCGGGGGGGCGGGGGAGGCGTCTGGGTCGAGGTTTTCGTTTTCAGCAGCAGGTGGAGCCTGTGGGAGTTTACAGGCGTCATGTTAATCTTTTTGTATAAAATGATGCATATGGGAGCAGTGCTGTGCAAAGGTTTTTTTCACTTTTTAGTCTTTATTTAGTTTTTTTACAAAGAGTTAACTGATATATTCGTATCTGACTCTAAAAAAACATCAAACAGAACATTTCTTAAATTATCAGTGTTCCCCTAATGATAGTAGCCTGAAGTTTCTATGTTTAGACAGCAGCTCAAAATGTATTTTTTTAGGCATAAAACTCAAATATACACTGGGCAAGATGTCCTCAAATAATATATTATATTTGAACTAAATAAAGTCACTTAAAAAGGTCCCATGTCATGGCCATTTCTACTGATCATAATTCCATTGTTGAGGTATAATAAAATAGATTTACATTGTGCAATTTTCCAAACTCACATTGGTTTCTCATACAGTATGTGTATTCACTCTCTGTCCTAAACGGCTTGTTGGAGCTCCTGCTTGTTGCAAATTTCCCCTCTGTGGGACTAATAAAGGTATTCTGAATCTGCCCCCCCCCTCCCTGTGAGCCCATTGGCCGTCTGCGAGACAGCGAGACACCGCGGAACTCAGCCTGGGCACACACACACACACACCTAGGGATGGGTATCGTTAAGGTTTTAACGGTACTACTACTTTTATCGATACCGCTTATCGATCAGGTCTTTTAACGGTACTTTTATCGGTTCATTTGGAGAAAAAAATAAGGTAAACTAACTAAACAAATTGTGAACAAAACTATCATTGCTTTTTATTTAAATTAAATAAATAATATTTCACATCAAAAGAAACAACAATGTTTTAACAAATCGTATTAAATAATCTGATGACAGAATTGTAAACAGAATAGCTGAAACTTTAACAAAATAAATAACTCAGTTACCTCTAATCATTAACCCATGTTTGTATAATTGTGTTAACTCTGTGTGTTGCTGCTAGCATACATAATCTTTGAGCATGTTTTCTCTCACTGATTGTGCTGTTATGTTAAATGTTTGTTGTTTGTGTTTCATGTATTTGTGTCTGGATATTTGTCTGTTGATGTTGGACATGGACGCAATTTTCAGACTTGATCTGACAAATAAAGTAATATCGTATCGTATCGTATAACATACCTGACGTGGAAACGTTACTCGTGGATGGGGCTACAGAGCTACTAGAAAGACAGTCGAAAACGGTGCATTTCTCCGTTTGACTGTGGTGCACTTTTGCTAAATGTTTCGACAAATTGCTCGTGTTACTGCCCTTACATGCTAAACTCTTATTGCACTTTTGGTAACGAGCATTGTCCACATCGAGACGGGTAAAGTTTAACCACACCTCGGAGCGCGTTCTCTCAGCCATCTCCTCCGTGTGTGTGTGTTGCTGCATGTAGCAGCTGAGTGTGTAAACTGCCCCGCCCCCTCGCACACAGACGGGGGAGAGAGATCTCTTGTCTGGATTGGAAAGATCGAAAATACTAAAAATAATCATAGACGCATTTTGCAGTCTTTTTGCGTATTACAAACGGAGTTGGCGACACTAAAGCTGCAATATAATGTTTGTGTAGCAATAATACATATGACATATTTTTTAGATGTCTCCAGTACCGATAAAAAGACCGATAACGTCGGAGCTTAACGGTACCACGGTCTTTAATAACTCAGCCCCGGGGACCGTAAAATACCGGGGCTCGGTACCCATCCTTACACACACCCGCAGCCTGGCTGGGAGTTTGTGTGTGTGCCCAGGCTGAGTTCCGCGGTGTCTCGCTGTCTCGCCGACCCCACACCAGTGAGCCAGCTCACAGTGTCCCGCTCCTCGCAGCAGCGAGCCTCGCAACGTCCCGCCGAGTGTGTGTGTGTGTGATGAAGTCCACGGATTGGTCCAAACGGCTCCGCGGACGTTACGTTACGTCACTATACCCGAAATACGTCACTATACCCAAGAAGTAAACAATGGAAAAAGAGAAATCTCCAACGAGGCGTTCTGGGGCAGCATAGACAGGTCTTTTCTGTGTTAGAGTTTTACTCGCTACAGGGTGTACTTTGAGGGTTTGTGACTCTGCAGACCGTTTACATGCAGAAAAACCTTCATAACACACAAGGGGACGGGTAATAACCGGAAAAGCATGACATGGGACCATTAACTTGAAATTATGTCACAGAAATACGTTTCCCCTTAAAAAGTATGTATGATGAAATCACACAATTACAATATTTTTTTGAAACACAATATTTTGTATTTTCTAGAAATGGTTACTGAGGAAAACAATACATTCTAAACGTGTGTGATATATAAGAGCAGAACACTGCAACCTGTATCTGAACCCAGAAATCCAAATACGTCAGATGCAATTAAGAGAAGGAATCATGGAACATTTTAATGTGACGTGATTTATGAGCTGCAGCCGGTCTAAATGTGTGGCCATATCATTTCGGATTCATTCTCACCTCGTTGGTATGGATGAGAAATCGATTTGATTCCACCTCCGGATCAATGATCCCCCCTTTAGACCGCTGCCTCTCCAGAAGCTTCTGCAGCTTGCACCACTTCTGCTGAAATTTTGAACCAATCACCACTTCGTCCAGCTGAGTGAGAAAAACAAAAGACTTTCAATGGTTATTACTGACTTTGGAAACGACTTCCAAAGTGGTGAGATTGTGAAATTAAGCTATGAGCCGCAATAATGAACTATTTATTGAATTAAACAATGATGCAACATAAAATAATAAATATTCCCATCGATACAAGTACATAAGGTGCACTATGTTACCTCGGGCAGCTGGGGTGCAGGCGAGGACAGAAGCTGGTCCACGTCATACGACAGCGGCTCTCTACACACCGGACACACCACAGTCAGCTCCTGTGAGGGGAGTCAGAAAATGAAATCACTTATAAACAACTAGAACATCTCCTCCTTGAGTCCAATATTGACTGTTTGGGAATATCTGAATCTTGGCTAAAACAGTCGTCACCATCCACTCTTGTATCTATGTCAGGATATAATGTGTTTAGGAAGGACAGACTGAAGGGAAAAGGAGGGGGTGTGTTGCTTTATGTGAGGAATACCTTTACTTGCAGGGAGATTGCACTCCCAGCTAATATTGAGTTTGATTGTGTTGGTGTGGAAATCACACTATCTGAGGAAATGTCCCTCACCATGATTTGCCTGTATAGACAACCCACCGCTAAGGTGGATTTCTATGACCAGGTAAAACTCCTGCTGAATTCCTGTGACTCCAACAAAGAGCTAATTATTGTAGGAGACTTTATCAACTGGAATGACAAACAAAATAGAAAGAGCTTAAAACGGATCACGGATAAACACAACTTAATACAACTAATGGATCAACCGACTAGAATAACCAAAACCTCCAAGACTATGATAGATTTATTATTTACAAACAAAGCTGACAGAATAGTTAAAACCTACAACTTCCTGACTGGTCTTTCTGACCATAATCCTGTTCTTTTTGCCAGGAAACTCACAAAAAAAAGGTTCATGGCCACACCTAAAACCCCTGCCTTGGGTTCACGCTTCATCCCCAAAAACCTGCAACAACGTTTTATGGAGGCAGTGAAAATGATTACCGGTAATTGGGGGGACACTCTGTCCTCTGAAGACATTGGTGAAAACAGTAATCTGTTTATATCTCAAGGAGAGGGACAGTTAGGGACAGGAAGGAACATCATCTTCCCTGGTTGAATCTACAATGCAGGAATTTGATTAAATCTAGAGACCAACTATTAAAGCACAGCTTAAAATCCGGACTATCCACTGACAGACAGAAATGTACTCATGCTCGTAACAAGGTAACTCAAACAATAAGACAGGCCAAAGCTAACTTTTTCATCAATATAATTGAAGGTGAGAAAGGTAACAGTAAAAACGTTTGGCAAATCCTAGGTAAACATAAGAAACAGGAAAATAATGCTCTAGAATTAAAAATCAATGATGCCCTGATAAAAGACCCTGCAGTGTTGGCCAGCTCTCTAAATGAGTATTTCATAAATAGTGCTCTGAACATCACAAAGCTCTTCCCGCCATCTGAGGTCTCACCTAGCCCGACTGTGGATACACATCCAGTTTTTGACCTGGAGGAAATCACAGAGGTGGAGGTAAAACATATCATCTTAGGGTTCTAAGGCTACAGATGCAGATGATTTAGACACCAACTTTATAAAGACAAATATTGACAGTCTAATAAAACCAATTACTATGCTAGTAAATCAATCTATTAGCACGAGGGAGGTTCCATCATCCTGGAAGGTGGCCACGGTGACACCGATCTTTAAATCTGGAGATAAGGCAATGGTGTCCAATTACAGACCAATCAGCATCCTCCCCTGTGTCTCTAAGGTAGCTGAGAAATGGGTGTCAAAACTAATCACCAAACATTTAGATAAAGGTTTCGCTCCACTCCACCCTATGCAGTTTGGTTTTCGTGCTCACCACTCCACTGAGACAGCTAACTGTGTCTTTGTGGAAAAGGTTAAATGTATGTTGGACACGAGCCCATATGTAGGTGCAGTCTTCCTTGATCTCAGGAAGGCTTTTGACACTGTTGACCACCAAGTGCTCCTTACAAAGCTGACGTATTTCAATTTTTCGGCAGATTCAATACAGTGGGTTAAATCTTACTTATCAAACAGAAAAGAGTGTGTTTTGGTCAACGGTACCAAATCCCCCTACCTTGTGAACCCTGTTGGGGTTCCACATGGTTCCATTCTTGGACCATTACTGTTTTCTCTGTACATTAATGACTTGCCTAATGTATGTCCTGAGTTGAATGTGCAAATGTATGCCGATGATGCGGTCATCTTTGTACACGGGAAAAATACTGAAATAATCACATCCTGTCTCTCAAATGCATTGGACAAGGTTCAACACTGGCTGAACAACATTTGCTTACAGTTAAATGCAACAGAATTAGAACTAGTCCCCCACTTCAAGTATCTTGGAGTCATACTGGACTCGAACTTGACTTTTAAGAAACATATCAAGAAAGTATCCAATACCGTTAAATTCAACTTGCAACATTTAAAACAAATTAGACCTTTCTTAACTGTCAATGCTGCAAAGTCATACCTCCACTCTATGATTCTATCCCACATTGAATACTGTTTTACAAACTGGTCGTTTGCTTGTGCCACACACCTGAAACCAATAGAACAGCTGTACAAGAGAGCTATCAAGGTATTTGACAGAAAGCCTTATTCATACCACCACTGTACCATCCTTGAAAAACACAATTTCTTGAGTTTTGACAATTGTAAGTCTTTTAAAAGTATGTGTTTTATTTATAAATGTTTACATGGACTGGCCCCCCCTCCCTTAGGGGAATTCATCCACAAAAAACACACTGGACGCTGCACTAGGTCAGAAACCAGAGGAGACTGTAGTCCACCGTAGACGGACCACTTTCTGTCAAAATGTCCTCTCCATTAAAGGCAGCACATTGTGGAATAGCCTCCCAACTGAGATACGGGATTGTCCCACCCTCAATAGCTTCAAAGGTCAACTCAAAGAATGGTTGAGAAACAAACAGACGTGTAATCACCGCGAGATGCACTTTAACACAGGGGCATCTCCTCTTGCACTTTATGTAGCTCTTTTATCTCCTCCTGCACTTTATATGACGTAGCTGCTACATTGCACTGCCTTGTGGTAAATGCTTGTATGCTGCTCATGCTCTTTCTGCATATCATGTATTTCTGTTTGCTATGTATATAAATGTTATGTTCATAAATGTTGTATGTGACGGGACTACGGAGGGAAACTAGCTCAAAGCTCAAATCCGGCTCATTTACATTTCAAAGCATTTTTTTGTTTAAAATGTTCATTAATGTGCAGTCCCGGTTCAAATAAACGATGAAATGAAATGAAAATGAAAAGAGAGACACAAAAAGGTTTGTTTGGCCGGAGCTCCTCTCACCTGACGCTGGGTGTGGTCTCGGGTCTTGTCCTCCTCTAACTCGCGCTCCCTCTGCTGGAGCTCCCTCTCTGCGTGGCTGGCGTAGCGGCCGAGGCAGTGGGAGTGGAAGTAGTGGTAGCAGCTCGTCTTGGAGAACGTCTCTCCCTCCTGGAGACATCCAGTGCACAGAGACAAATTAAATGGGTTTGCAGAGGCAGATTTTAGGAACATTTCTGGAAATATCTGCTGACAAGAAGTTCCTTAAGAAATATACTTTCCTTTTCAACATTTCTAATTGGAATTCTTTTTATTTATTTAAATAAAACAAAAGAAGGAAATACATCCATATTCTATTAACTAAAATGAATTATAGTGATAGACAAAATGTTATAGGGATTGATGTTGTTGTTGATGATGATGATGTACCTTAAAGCCATAGAGGCAAATGACACAGTTTCCATGAGGAATATTGCTTTCAGTCAGGATTTCTTTAGCTTTCTATAGGAGAAAAAAAAAAAGGAGAAAAGTTAGAAACTTGACTTCAAGCAGCAGTACTTCTCACTATTACCATTATGTATGAATTAAATAAAAAGCACTATATATAGTGACCTCAATGAGCTGATACAGCACGGGTGAACCCAGACAGGACTGAGCCTCCAACTGAAGACACTTTTGGACACTAAAAGAAAAGGTGGCACATGATTACAGAGTTTTACACTCCAAAAGAAACATTTCCGAGCAGAAAGTAGTGATAAAAGAGTTCAATCACACTTTATTACCTACTGATCTTGTCATCAGAAAGCCCCCGAGGGTTACGAATGGAGATTGCTGGAGAAGACGAGGGATACTAAGCACACAAAACAGGGAAGAGAGTCAAAATGGAATTATGTCCATCAGTGTGTTGAGCTTTACAGGTGGTGTTATAGCACTATGGCAGCATTCCATATTGCATACTTTTTCTATTAGTATATACTGCTACTGCCCTAAAAAGTATGTACGGTTGCAGGCAGTATGCATACAAACGGGACTACACCCTGAGTTCCAATACATACAACTAAAAAAATGTAGTATTTCCCAAAAAATAGTATGTCAAATGTAGTATGCCAAAAATACCTGGATGTCCTACACAGCATCAGGTCCCATATGAAAAAGCTCAAAGTTCAAGGTGCAATGTTAGGACTAAGCACTATGTCCGAATTGCATGCATATCAGAATCAGAATAAAAAATCTGATATTTGTCACTATTATTTTATATTTTATTTGTCAGTGTGGCAACTAAATAGTATACTGGTATGTTTTGGAACGCAGGACTGTGGTGTTTTCAGTTGATTGTATCCTTACAGGTACATAGCAGACACCTTATTAATGTGAGCCGTGGAGAGAAATGTGAGCAGTGTTGTATCAATAAACCTCATCACAACACAGAGACTGACATACTGTAAACACAGTCCAGTAACAGGATAAGATCATAAATTATGTACCTGCTGATCCAGGGTCAGAGTCAGGGTGAGGCGGACAAACTGTGAGACAGAGTCCTCAGCTGTGGACGGGTACAGGACCAGGCTCACCTCCCAGCACCTGCAGGACACAGCTGCAGCTTCAACAACACTCTCTAAACACAGATAAACTCTGAAGCCAAAAAGGCAGCAATCATTATGCAGAATGGCTCAATTAAGGACGATACACTTGATATGATGTAATAATGTGCATTTTAATGTAACTAGAAACTAAAGTTGTGCAGTATTGTAGTATAACGTTTCATAAGATGGGAATACTCATGTATAAGTACTTCAAAATCTGTACTTGATTACAGTAAGCTTATGAAGCAACATGATGTCATTTTAGCTCATTTTTGTCTCACCCTTCTTCTTTCCTGTTGACCAGCAGTTCATCCAGATAGATGGACTGCAGCACCTCGATTTCAGACAAAACACTGCGGAGAAGAGAAATATGATGTTTGACTTGTATTGATGCCATTCTGTCCTGTTTTAGAACAGGTTGACACATTATGCTAGCGTTAGCTGGTTGCTAGTTAACCATATAGCCACAGCAGAACTGCTACATTTCCTCTGATGTTAAACCGTCACTAAATAAATAAACCGGATATCAATTATATTGAATGTCATGAAATGTGTTTGATGGTAAAAAGAGGAAATACATGCTGTAAACTAACTCACTCGCACTCGGCTGCCATGATGATGTTTGTCGCTGTTTGAGCTAGCTGCAGCTGCTAAAACCTTGATATAGCACACGGTTCTTTCAAAACAAAAGTGTCACGGCAAGAATTATAGTTAGCTCTAGTTACCGTTTAAAATAAATCACGTAACTAGACATTTACTGGATCATTTTAGGTCTGATTTAAACGTAACATTCCCATTTATGAAGGGAAAGGGTGAATGGTCCTTCTATAAATAAATAAATAAATACAAATCATACTGGGGCCTAGATTATAAAACTTGTATTTTGAATGCGTTCACCGGAAGTACCAGCATGTTGTTATGACTGACTTGATGTCAAGTGACCATGGAAGGGAAATGTGCTGATTTCCATTGCCCTCTAGTGGGCACAGTAAGAACTGCACAATATAAATAACAATAATAACAATACTGATAATAATTATAATGAGTCATAATGTCTTTAAAAATGACATTATGACTTATTATATTATATGACATACGAGTCCTATCATTTTAGTTTTTTCATCATTGAGTAAATGTTGGAATGTGTGTTTTGGGTTTTGACCCATGACACATTCATACAGTGATCCATTTTGTGGGAATACATCTTTTGAATAGTTTTCATCATTCATTGTTTGTCTACCATTAAAATGTTCGTCTTGTAAAACACTTCGCAACTTTGTTTTGTTTTGTTAATAAAAAATATGAATACTTTATTATTGTTATTTGGCACTAAGGTGCTCAAAACGTAAGTCTTTTCTTTAACCACTTTAACATACTGTATGATAGATGTTGGATACACCACTAATAACACCTGCAATACTCATTTACACATATACACATCTGTCTCTCTCAGGGGCGGATTTACAGGGGGGCAAGGGGGGACAGCTGATCCCACACTGTAGATTCCCCCCAGCTGCCCCCCTAACTTTTGTGTCCCTAAAACTGTACTTGTAGAAGCAAACTTACACTATGTCCACAAGCTTCTCAAGTAACGAAACAAGCAATATATTCATTAAAAGTGAATAATTTGAAATATAATCTTAGGCCCCTCAAACACTTAGCACTGCGGAGTGGCGTTCACACGGACAACGACACACAGCTCCAGAGAGAGGAGCGACCGAGCTGTCCCAGTAACCAAAGAAGGATCAGTTTCCCCTGGCAGCATTCCCCCTTGGACTAGTTTTGTTTTTACTAAAGAAGAGAGCTTGAAACAAAATATAAAAAACTATAAAATCCACGTGAATTACTCTCACACATCATACCAACCAGGCTGCATACATTAAACCAGGTTGCATCCTTTACCGTCAAACTGGGTGTTACAAAGTAAACAGTCTGTGTGCGTCACGTTTGATAAATATTTTCTGATTTGATATTTACTATAGCCTAATTATTAGGTATAGCTATTAGCTACATGGCCCTAACGTGTAAGGTAATACAATAATTTGTACCAGTGCTTTTGACATCAAGACTCTTTCATGCCAGAGGAGCTGGAGTGATTCAACGACAACAAAAAATATATATCTGAGAAGTGATCAGGATGAATAGAAAGAGAAAAGGGAAAAGGGAATACACTGGAGAGACCAGGAGGGTCAGAGCAGGAGAAGGCCAGGAGGAGATGAAGACATTAGTGAAAAAGAAGAAATGAATGTGAGGAATAAAGATGTGATGTCAGACTCAGAAAGAGGGACAGTGATCAGGAGCAGATGAAACTCCAGCTGGAAACACCGCATGGTATGTTTTTATTCTTCCTACATACGATATTCCAATACAGCAGCAGTGGCTCTTAGTATAGAGAAATATTGCCTGCAATGTTTTGCTGCAAAGGTCGCCTTAAGCTCTCTCTTCTTCTTCTTCTAATTCTAAGAGATGGGTGATGTCATTTGTGGACTTAATAATAACTAAGTAGTTTGACTGAACTTACAGTAAATAGAATTTTAGGGTAGCCTTCCTGTACTTAACATGAGTATTGTCTGCTGTTTTTACTATGTTTTTGTTTGTTTGTCTGAACACCTTGTTTCTCTTGTGCATTAAGACCACTTGTGTTAGGGCATGATTTAACAATATATAGGTTATATCCCTCCTGCCATGACCTCTTGCGCCACTTTTGCCACCCCATGTAATATGTAGTCTCTCTCTATCTCACACACACACACACACACACACACACACACACACACACACACACACACACACACACACACACACACACACACACACACACACACACACACACACACACACACACACACACACACACACACACACACACACACACACACCCACACTAACACACTAACACATACACACACTCCCACACTGTGTTGTTTTGTTGTGGTATTGACAGGCGGATGTGAGTGAGCTCCACCTGCAGCGGCTGTGCACAGCAGGCGGTTTGGAGCCACGAAGATTCAGGTCAGACACGCATTTTTAAAACTTTCTGCAAACAAACGGCCTGTTTCTGTCTGACTCTGCACACCTCGCTGAAGGCACTGCAGTATCTCTGCATTATTGATCTGTGATGAGACATGTTTCTCTCTGTGTGAAGATGCTATTTTAAGAATAACTGAATCTTGAATGAAAATATAGGAAAATATAAATGAAGAAAGGAGGGGCATGCATGCAATGACATGATACTGCATGGTGTCATTTTGATCACAGTTTATTTTCAATTGCTAACACATATGAAAACATGGCTCATTTTCTCAAAACACTTGACACATAACACCTCATATATCCTGCAGAATGACTCAAAACGACATCAACACCTATCAAACCCAACTTTTGCACCGAATTGCACACACTTCGTATAAGACTCTTTGTCCAACCAACTACACACTGTGGTGCTCAATCAAAAACACACTTACTTGTATGGGCTTTGTTAGAGAAGCGCAGAAACTCAAATATTCTGTTGAAACAAAACGTGTTTATTTTCCTCCACAACTGCTCAGCGCAACATTTATGCACAAACAGTTGTGTGAACAAAAAATATGCTCTCTATCAAATACAGTAAATGGAAAAGAAAACATATTTAAGCTGCATGTCTGGCCACATCACCTCATCAGCATGCAGAAGAAGTACAGTATGCACCTATAGGCCTGACGTTCATACAGCTCCAACCGTTATGCTGCAAATAACTCTTCAACTGTCTTCCATTCATCTCTCACTCCCATCCTCTCTGTACCCCTACCTCTTGCTGCTATGTCTAAATATCCATTGTTGTTGTAAAAAGTTCTTACTAGTAGCCTTTTTCTAGTGCTTACATCCTGACTGATGAGTCAACAATATGCATGTGTATTTGTTTATTGGTTCATGTGTGTAGCATTACTTAATGGCAGTGCTATGAAAATGGCAAACAAGTGAATATGTCAGATTTCGGTGTCTTACTTAGAGAACTGTGTGCAGTGTCTTCTGCCAAGATGAGTTGAAAACTGGGTGCAGAGCTGAAATGTGTTTAGAGTTTTGGAGATTTGAGCTGAGGTTTTGATCTTTGAGTGTGAGTTTAAATAATTATTGCACAATGATGCACTATGTGTCATTTGTGTGTGTTAGCCACTGAAAGAAACTGTACTAAAATTCACAAAACCACACACCCAAAGTGCAAAACACCTCATAGATCCTGCAAAATGAAACACTGCAACCAAAACTAACACTTTAAAAAAATCAAACATTTGCAGCAAACACACACACTTCATTCATATTCCCAGATGTTTTTGTCCAACCAACTAGACGGCACACTGTTGTTCTCCGTCTAAAGCACACTCATCTTTTATGGGCTTTGTTCTGTATGAAGAAAATTCTGCACTACAGAAATATGTGCAGAAACACAAATATTCTGTTGAAACAAAACAAAATGTTTCTACACAACTAATCAGGGCAACATGCATGAAGAGCACAGCAGTTGTGTGAATGAAAAATATGCTCTTTATCAAATACATGAAATGTTAACGAAAACTTTGAGGAGAAACATATAAAGATTATTTTTCTCAACAAAAAAAAGAGAAAAGAAAAAATACCTGAATTGACTTGAATTCGTCCTCCCTCTCACTCCCACATCCCTCTACCTCTTCATCGTGATGCTATGTTGCTTCCACCTAGTAAGACCGTACTCACCTGCAGTCTTTATATAGTGCCCACATTCTGATTGATGATTCAAGAACCAAGCAATCATGTGTGGCCCGATGGCACATGTATTTTCAAATGGTTTCACGTGTGAGGCGTTTTCAGTGGCAGTGTTTTGAAAGTGACTTTATGTCAGATTCCTGTTTCTCACTTAGAGAACCTTGTGAAGTGTCTTGCAAAAAGTCCGTAGATGATTTGCAAATTAGGTGCAGAGCTGAACATGTGTTTAGGGTTTTAGAGACTGAGGTTTTGCTATCTTATTTTAGTGTGTTAGCAATGGGAAAAAACTGTAATTTCATGTCTTCTTTTTGCTTTTAAATGTAACACTTAGATTCACTTCATATGAAGAATGTGATGAATTATCTATCATATGATATTATTTATAGTCTGAATATATCAATGTTTTTCACATAAATGTACCCAGTCAAGAACTGTGTGTTTTTTATTTATCTTTTGAATTGTGTATTCTTATAATTTATTTTGTGTTCCTTTTTGTTTTATTTCAGTAACTGTTTGGTAACCTCTGTAACCTGGTTAAATAAAGGTGGACTAGATATATTGCTGTACTGATTTAAAATAAATTATTATTGAGTATTGCTGGTCCATATTCCTCCAATTGATTGAAAGACAGGTATATGAATGCATTGAGAAAGTACATTTGTTCATGCGGTCGAGTGTCTTTAAATCAGCTTCGAATAGTTTTTTCAATATAATATTACCCTTATGTGCTGTTGTTGTGTTTCAAATGATATTTTGAAACATTTTCTCTCTCACTGATTCAAGTTCACATGTAGACAGGTTGAGTATAGCAGAGACAAATTATAGAAATATAATTTTATTACGCAATAAAGTAGGCTACTCTGCAGGAAATTAGATTAGCTGTTATCTCCTAAAGATAGAGACATTAGTGCACATGCAAGAAATGCACTACATTAAACTGCTCTCTCTGAGCAGCGGGATGTTAAGCTTCTCTGCAAAAACGGGACTTCCTCAGGAACTTCCCTGACTCAATATGTTGCGTGTGGTCAGGTTGGTATGCCAATAATAAAAGTATTGTAAGATGAATATCTCTTCATCAGAGGCTTAACACTCAAATGCAGAACTCACTATAGGGTCGTTCTCAACTTATTCCTATCACCAAAAACA